TTAATGTCTGCATCCTCTCCCTGCCCCCACCCCATGAAGAGAGGTCCTCAGAAGGGTGAGAGTGAGGGGATGTGAATAGGGCACTGGGTGATCAGGACTGTGGATGTCTTGACCGATGGGTGGGTGGAACCCTTGGGCCTGGCAGGAGGAGATAAGGGTGGGAAGCAGCAGGCAGGCAGGCAGGCAGAGCTCCAGGACCCAGTGTCTGCCCAGCACTCTTCACCTCACCTTGGAGAGCTTCCCGCACTTGGGCCTCCCACCTCTCTGACTCCAACAGGAGCTGGCTTGAGCTCAGCCTCCAGCAGGGAGACCGCCCTGCCCTCCAGCTTACTCTGTTCTGTCCTTGCACATCCTGCGCTTTGAAGCCTCTTGCTCAGCCCTGTGGCTTCCCCAGAAGCCTTGGCTTAGAGTGGAGATGCCGCCTATACAGATCCCCAGTCCACCATCAGCCTCCAGGCAAAGTCAGCTAGAATCCTACCTTCTGGCATCCAGGTCCTGGGCAGAACCAGGCTCCCCTCTGATGGGATCAGGAGGCCGTGCTGAGTGTTTTGGCTACCAGGTCCCGCCCATACCCATGCATCCCCCACCATGCCTCTAAAGAATGTAATTTATTGGGGCACCCCCAGTGCTTTCCTTACCTAACTCTCTGCCCTACCTTAATCACACTCCCAGCTTTTCTTCTCTACAAATACATATATGTGTACATAATTATATATATTTTTTTGCCCAGATCTGGGTTTTGTTCCTGCCCAGATGCTGGCATCCCTTTCCACTGTGTGTGTGTGTGTGTGTGTGTGTGTGTGTGTGTGTGTGTGTGTGTGTGTGTGTGTGTGCGCGCGCGCGCGCGCGCACTGATGATGCTGGGGGAGGGGAACTCTGCTTGGAATTAAAAGGTTGCATTGGGTCCCCAAATCTATTTGTTTTTTATGAGCCACTAGGTCCAGGTGAGAGGGACAGATGACGCCAGGCTGAGGGAAGTCACGGGAGTAAGGGTTGGAATGGGAGCACATAGGGTTGGAGGAAGTAGAGAGATGGTGTACATACTGCCCTTCCCCAACCTGGGCCACGCTGGGGCTGGTCCAGCAGGGCCCTGCCAGCCACCTCTCCTTCAGGGGCGATGTGATGGTGAATGGCAGAGGGGCAGAAACATACTCTGGAGCCTGACAAGAGAGCCAGCTAGGAGGGAAGGCTGCCCTGTCCTCCCCGAGGCCCTAAATGCTCCCTTGGCAGGCAAGCTCATCAACAGCTGGTTTGACTGCACCCTCCAGCGCCGAAGATACTCACAGTTCAATGGGAAGGCCAAACGCACAGAAAAGGTCAACAGGGTAAGAGTAGGCGGTGAGCTGCCTGGTGAGAATCAGGCAGAGAAAACTAAGGAATGGAGAAATGATGAACTCCAGCAGGAGCAAGGGTCAAGTGGAGGCCAAGGGAGGAGGAGCAATTTGGTCTTGGTTGATTTGGCAAGGACTTCCAGGGGGAACAGACATGGAACTGGGTGTCGAAGGGGTGGAGGGGTCAATATTTGATTAGAAGATCAGGAGGACTTCAGTGTGGGTGCTCATGGGCACAGGAACCAGCCTCACCTACTTGGAACAGAGCCCAGGTCTGGGCACGTGAAGAGGGGTGCCTGTGGTCAGGTGACCAGGTGAGGTCAAGGATCAGGTGAGTTGGCGGGGACCCTGATGTGAACCTAAAACTGGAGCTGGGACCTGAATCCAGTCTCCCACCCCAGGATGAGTTTCTATCCCTTTGGCTGAAACAAAAGCAAAATAGATAAGAACCACTCACATGTGAAAGGTGATTTTAAATGGTCGGAGTTCTATAACATCCACAACATTGTTTTATCCTCTGATAAACCTGTGAGGGCAACAGCACAGATCACTTTAATCCTTTTAGTGAAGGAGAAAATTGTGGAATAGAGACATTTCATCCAAAGCCTAAAGCTATGTACAATGAGTGAGTGGAGAATGGAGAAACATCTGAGTTTCTTGACTGCTAACCCAGGACTTTTCCCAAAGCATACATTTGCTCTCTAAGGGGCAGCAGGGAGGGTAGGAGGCTGCAGAGAGAGGAATGGTTTCCACACACCCAGTCTGAGGCATCAGTGAATGTGTGCAGGGCTTACCTGTTCTGGCAGGAGGGATATGAGGTGACGAGTTCAGCACCCCTCTGTGCACCGAGCTCCCAGGCTGCTGAGCAGCAAGGCGTGCTGAGGCAGTGTGTGATCACAGTTCACTGGGAAATGCTTGTGGCAGGGCCAACTGGATGCTATGTCCTAAAGGATTTTAAGTTCCTGAGATTCAGAGCAACTCCAGGTGGAACTCTTGTTCCTCAAACAAAAGCTTAGGGAGTGTCTCAGTGCCTCCTCCCCAAAATACACATGCACACACACCAAGAAATGCAAAACCTTGGTGGTTACTTCATCCAGTGGTTTCCAAACCTTTTCAGTAGCAAAACTTTTTCTTTTTAATTAGCTCTTACTATTAATAATTGGAATAAATGTATAAGTTGAATTTTATAGTTAATTAGTATGAAAATCATTGAGGATAAAGAAGCCACAAGGAATAAAAAGTAAGCCTTGATGAATATAAAAATTTTAAGTTGGGTTATATATGTATATATGACAGTTGCCCTCTTATCAAGTGGAGGATCTAATTTATTATTGTATTTGGTTGCATAGTATCGAGAAAATTCTGATTCACACAGGTAAGTAGTTACAAAATTGTGGTGGTTTAAAAATGCATGCCAATCCATTCACATTCCTCCTGCTTGGGGCAGCTTCTATAGCCCCACTCCTTGAATCTGGGCTTAGTGACTTGCTCCTTTAAAACTGTTAGCCCTGTAATAGTCTTCTACATTCATTTAAACTGACAGGAGGAGAGGTTTTATTCAAGGGTCTTCTCCCAAACGAGCTAACCTGGCAGCAGACTTTAAATATGTCAGTGACTCTAACACTTTTGTTCTACAATACATGTAAGGGTGTCCACTGACTTTTATCAGAGCTTTTAAAATAAAATTTTATCTTAAAATAAAATTAAATTTTATTATTAATAAAATTAAATTTTATTAAAATTAAAAATTTAAATTTTAATTTAAAATAACATTTTAAAAGTCAAGCCAAATGAAAGGTTATAGATTCCTGATATGCTTCCACTCTACCCTAGAGTTCCTTGAAACATGTTGAGGGGAAAGCAGACTCACCCCATCAGCTGCTGCTTCACCCATGAGGAAGTAGGCCTAGAAAAGAACAGTGCTGAGCAGACTCAGGTCTCTAACGCTCCAGGCTGCTTCTCAATACATAAAACAGGCTGTTTTTTTCCCTTTGTTTGTATACATTTTGACCTAAAAGACTCCTCTCATTTCTCATAGGGCTCCTCACCAGGGACCTATTTGTAGACGAACTGTTTGAAAATACCAGGTTTTTTCCCCAAGCAGCAGTAGGAGAACTGAGCTCCACATGCTAGCTAGCTCAGCCTGGCTCGGAACCCTGGTCCTCCCCAGGCAGTGATGCTGGCCTCCCAGTGCCGCAGTCTGGACCGCAGGCTGTACTCCGCTGCACCCAGCCAGCTCTGGGCAGGTCATGGTCTCCTGAGTCTCAGCCCCTCTGGGGAATGGGACCCAAAGGCAGGGCCCATGCATGCAGTGGAGCCCCAAAACCCCACAGCT